TTGTGACCATATCAGTGTGTGCTAAATGCACGAGGAGCGGTTGGTTACGAGATCGGATTGGTTTGAGAATGCTCCGAACATTGCCAGTGAAGAGTGGCCTAGAGTTCAAACTGTAAATCACACCTCTAGAGCAAAAACGGTGTGTCGTTTGTGCAGGAAACTGGGTAACAGCTGTGATAGATTGCCGGACTTCTCCATTCATTGGGGACTGTGGAGGGGACTAAATATAACTACCCCCCTATGACCCACACCTCTTCTGAAGTAATGGGATCAGAAGAGTGAAAGGTGTTCCTCAGATTGTAGCCCCTCATTAATGAAACAAATTTCCACCCCACGTTGGAGGTGGCAAGATGAGTCTGTTGGATTGGTGGTCTTATGCTGGCTTAAAAAACCCCCCAAAACATTCTGTAAGATTTGTACGCAGAGTTGTTTTAAATGTGTGTAATTAACTAATATTTTTAAAAAATGTTCAGTGGAGGGTATCAGATTCCACCACTACCTCAGTTTTGTGGAGGGCTGAAGCCAAAAGCCTTGATTCTTCACCATTTGGGAAGTTAGTATGCTGTCTACCTATAGTTCATGATTTGTGCAGTTTTTATTGGAAATTTTAGATTTAAAATATAATGCAGATCAGGAAAACATTTGATTTTTAAAAATTTCTAAGGCAGTTTAAAAAACTTAATATAATAATTTCAAATTTTCCCTTTGACATTTAATTGGCTCATAGCCAAACTGGTTATTTTAAACAATGTTTTGTTCTCCAAATCACAGTCATCAGACTTGCCACACCTGTTCTGAAGGCATCCATCTGTTATTTTGGGTTCCATGTTGCTGAATTGGTAAAGATTAGACTAAGGAGATTTGAAATTAAGGGGAAAATAATTAGAAAATCGTGGACAAAACACTTGGATGAAAACTAATGGTGAAATTGCCATTTGAAAGAAATTTTGAGTTCATTTTCCCCTTGTTAAGTTACATTTTAGCCTAACAGCAGGAAAATAAAAGTAAACTTAAGAAAATGCAAATAAATGTTACTCTTTAAAACTGGTTAAAAGCCGATTTTTGTAAGTTGCATTGTCCACTGGTTGCATACACGCTTCTTATTGTGACATGACTATATTCAATGTTGTTATTGTAATGTAAACATTTGTTTTCTTTAGGTAAACAAACATTAAAGATATTTGATGGGAATGATGCAGTAAAACGCAATCAATTTCGACTGATTTCCGTTCCAAGGATTGCAAAAAGTGAGGAGGTTGTGGTAAGAGACTCTCAAATGGATAACGACTTTGATAGATTACGTTGGCCTCCAGCTATCCCAGTATACCATGATTGACAAATGTAATGCATCTCACAACGCCGATGACAAAACCTGCTTGTTACCCTAGCTAGAATATTAGAACATAATTTGGTTCTATCCAGCACTGTTGATATTCCTGGTACTTCCGACCATTTTATGAGGTACTGATGTAGATATGCAGACTGCGGAGACTTCATAGATGTATGCAACAACCATTATGTGTTAAGCTGTAACTCGCCTATCCTGTCAAACATTCAAATGTGGTTTTAGTGATAGCTGGGATATTGGCTGGTATACCAGAGTTACTAATGAGCTCCCTATTCGTCTCTCTAAATACATAGTATTTAATGATTTTAACTTCAGTCTGGACAAACCCCAGAGGGTTACACATACATGAAACAAACTATTTCTTAAGACTGCTGCATATGTCCATTTTTCTGTTTACCAAACAAGGCGTACTAAAATTGTGGTTGAATTAAAAACCCAATGCTCTGCAGAATGAGGGAAAAGACAGAGTGGTAGGTGCTCTTCCTGTGATAGATGCAGCGTGGGAACCTATATAGAATATTACCAACGTTTTTCAGCTTCAGTCAGGAAATAACTGTTATCATTATATACCCCCTTCTGCATTGATATTGTGCTCAAAATTAACTGAAATTTTGAAAATTTCTCTTGATGATCCACATCCAAATAGTTAAAAAAAGAATATACAGTGCAAAAAAAATTAAAATTGCTCTTTAGGATTGCTTGGTATTTTTCAAACGTAATGATTTTGGCTGTCGTCTTCTCCCAAATAAAAGAAATTCCTAGTTCACAAAAAGTGCCATCCTGGGACATATTTGCTCCAGGGTCTGTGGTGGCCGAAGGTGATGCAGGCTGTGATAGAAGGTCTCTAGTTTTGAAATTGGGCTGTAATGGCACAGGATGGCTACAGAGTTCCCTATGCTGCAGGTGGAGTGGTCTTTACCTGGCCAGGAGAGCCCCAAAGAGGGTGAGTTGGACCTGGGGAACAGAGTGGCTGCGAAGCAGGGATGCTTAGGGCATCCGGGGCTTAAAGTGATCTCTGATTTAAACCTGGATCAAAGGCAGGCAGCGCAGAGAAGTACAACCTACCTCTCTGTACCAGCATGAATCCTGAAGCTGCGTGTCTATTGCGGCTCACTACATTTATATTAAAAGGATACATCGATCAAAATTGCCATCGCTTGACAAAAATACTCCAGGCACCAACAAAAATCTCTATATTTGGATTCTGGTGAGAAATTTCCACTCGTGTTTTTACATCACTAAAACTTCGTTGCGAAACCATGTGCTTATTTTCGATAGTGGCCTGTTGGCTGTTTTTATGTTCCCTTAAAAGAATCTTTTAGAGTAAGTGAACTGACTGCATTTCATTACTGTGTCCCAGCCAGACATCCGTGCCCATTTTCAGAGGCGGGCGACTCACTGTCTTTTCTGTGCCGTTGTAGGAGGCAGCGCTGAGGGCATACTACGTAAACGATGATCAGCAGCACTATGAGCTCCAGACATTTTCTCAGCAGACCTTGTTTTCTGATGACATCATCAACAGGAATGATGCCACTGAAGAAACCAGCCCAGGTCCAGTGTTCAGAGAGGCGGTTCCCGAAGCTTGGATCATCAGAGCCAAATCTAAGGATCACGAAGTAATAAGAATTTATCCCGGTTGGCTGAAGTGAGTGATTTCCTTCTTTTTGCAAGGTTACTCTGCTCAGCCATTTGTGCCTTCTGTTGTGGCCAGGAAAATGTGTTGCAGTCGTTAAAGTTGCACGAGGGTAAAGGAGCACAAAATCCACTACATTGCAAGGATCTGTGTTGGTGTAACAGATATTTCTTTTTTTAGCTTTCATTTTTCTTCATTTCTAGACTCTGACATTAACTATTACATTGATTTAGCCCCCAGTCATGCACGCTTAAGAGTCAACAGGTGCCTTTGCATGATCTGGACAGATCCTGCGTCTTTGTTTAGTTGTAACACGTTAATCCAAGGAAACATAACTTTTTAAGCAAATTGTATCCGTGTACAAATGATGAGTAGAAGCTTTCTTGTGAGAGCTTCATATTTTTTAAAGGGAACGTTAAGATAAAGATATGTATGTTACATTCTTTTCCATGTTAGTAATAGATTAGATCAGGGGTCGGCAACCTTTCAGAAGTGGTGTGCCGAGTCTTCATTTATTCACTCTAATTTAAGGTTTCGCATGCCAGTAATACATTTTAACGTTTTTAGAAGGGCTCTTTCTATAAGTCTATAATATATAACTAAACTATTGTTGTATGTAAAGTAAATACGTTTTTTAAAATGTTTAAGAAGTTTCATTTAAAACTAAATTAAAAACCTGACCGGTAGCCAGGACCCGGACAATGTGAGTACCACTGAAAATCAGCTCGTGTGCCGGCTTTGGAATGCGTGCCATAGGTTGCCTACCCTTGGATTAGATGATTAAAACAGTTTTTTTTAAAAAAATCTTATTTATTTTTTACTACTGAAACTGTTTTGCATTTTATTCACCCTCCACAATGAAATAAGACTGATCAGTTTATAGTCACTTTCGTTTTATAGTTCCATCTTTCATCCCAAAGGTTCCCAAATTGTTTGAGTTGTGTGTCTGTCCTTGCTGCTGAGATTGCCAACTCGGTCCCAGTTGTATTGACAAAAACTTTAGTCCATAGTCCTGCAAGTGGGACTGCTCGGACAGAGGCCCATGGGTTTCAGTGAGTCTTCATACAGGCCTACTTGTGTGAAGTCACCAGCAGTATAGAGGCGTCAGTAACTGGTCTCCGGGATAGTCGGTTCCCACCTGTCCAATGTGAGTGGGACTGAGGCTTGTGGACAGCTTAATTTTATCAGCTGGTAACAAGTTTTTTACTGAATGGGGCTGAATTGTAACTGGGATCTTAGAGTAGGAGCTCTCCAGATCCTGGTACAATCTCCTGAGCTAATCCATCTGCATAAGTGATTTTAATTTTAAATATATATTTTTTTGTCTAGAGTGGGAATGGCGTATATCTCTCTACGAATAGATAAGGAAAGCACCACCCAGACAGTAATTAAAGAAGTTCTCCGGCTATTAGGACGGCAGGTAAGCAATATAAAGCTCATCGGCATTTCTTTGAGCTTCGTATGAACTATCCTAACAGTTCATTCAAAAGAAAAAGCATACTTACAAAAATGTATATATTACTTTCCCTCTACCAAATAGTCTTCTTAATGCTCAGCGAATGATAACTCCTGCCTTGCGTGGTGCCAAATTGCGGGTAAAACATTACCTGAGCATAATAAAAAAGACCCACAAGGTGGGTGGGGTAATATATTTTATTGGACTGACTTCTCTTGGTGAGAGAGCTTTCTGACACGGCTACTGCACTGCATAATACAACAGACCGAATAGCTCTATACTGAAAGCCTCCTCCATTTCTTATGGACCAAGCAAATTTACTCATGCAAAGAGGAGAATTCTCAATCTAGAGCATACGGCTTTTGTGCTTCTGTATCTCTTGAGTATTGAAATCAGGCTGATACGCAAGATCAAGTCCTGGTGGAACTGGAGAAAACCTTACATTCTTTTTTGAGTGTCTTCTGCATTGTCCCGCTCGTGGGATGTGCTGACGAGTGCAGGTCAGGTGGTGGAACCTTCTCATAACAGGGCCTGTTGGCACGCTCATGCATCTCTCCTGTCCCTCCCATCTGCATTCCTGATTGTGCTGAGGCCAAGACGATAAAATGGGACGTGGCACCCTCGGCTGCCTTAGCATCTTCTATCCACAGCAACAGATGGATGTACACCTTTTGGGTTCCTTTGGTGCCAGATTCTTCACTTAGAAGATCGTGGTGCCTTAGTTTACTGTTTCATAGTTAGTGTTAGACTTAGGATAAGTTAACTGTCAAGTTTTATTTTTAGTATAGTTTAGAGAGAGCTGTTTGATTCCATTTACTGGTTCCATGGCAGACCGGAAGTTGAAGAGACCAGGCTTTCAAAGGTGCAGCTCTTGTCCAGCAATCTTCCTGGCATGGCTGCTCATAATAGAGGTTTGTTGAGTGCTGATGTACTTCGTGATGCTCTGTCTGCAGCGTATTCAACGCGAGAGCACGCAAGGAGTTCCAGAACAGGCTGAAAGCCCTACTGTTTCAAGAAGGTTTGGCTGTGAAGCCCCTTGGAGATGGTACCTCTTCAGGGTTCTGATCAGAAGGTGAAAAGTCCAATATCCATTCTGGACACCTCTGGGTCTCAGAAAAAGGCCACAATGCAGAAAGCTCCGTCTCTGAAATTTTGTTAGGAATGCTGTTTGCAAAGATTGATATAACTCCGTTATAATTTTTTTGTTTCCTAATTGGCCAGTTGCCATCACATCTAATAAAGTTCACTTTCTGTATAAACTAGAAAGTTAAGAAGCATAATGCCTGACTTGAAAGTACGGGTACCAGGGGAGAGTGGGCCAGTTAAAATTAGTTTTGATCTCTAAATAAGTTAAAAGAATTGCTTTACCCAATAGCTGGCCAACTGGGTGTATTCCATAGCGCTCTCAATGTTTGAAGCTCTCTGTGTTTGCTATTTGGGTTAAGATCCGGATTATTTGCAATGGGTGGTGTTGGCAAGGGAAAAGAGTTTATTTTACCTATAGTTCTATTCCAAACCTATAGAATAATCTTTGCTAAAGGATGTATGCAAAATTCTGGTAGCCTAACAGTGTTTTCACTGCTGCAATTTTCTTGTTCAATAAAGCTCCAGTGTTAGACTGGATTAGAGTGCCCCCAGTCCACTACGGCTTTGAGCTGGCTGGCTTGATAGTACCATAGAAATTTCGGAACAGCTGGTCCACCTTGCACCTTGTTTAATGGGTTTGTACAAAGTATCTGCTTCCACTCTTGATTTTCTTATTCCATAGACATTCTAACATCACCCTCTGTATTCCTGCTAGGGTTTTATCTGAGATAATTGCGGAAAATTTTGACGCAAGAAAATTATCCTTGCCAGAATATTTGTTTTGACTGTGGTTATTCTCCTTGACCAAGGAATTGCATACATCCCTCAGCACTCCAGATCTTTGTTCATGTGCTAAAGTAGTAGTTTGAAGATTAAATCCTAGAGCCCTTCTAGGGTGTTTGAGATTTGAATTCCCAGGTATTTTATATAATTTGTTGCCCCTTTATACCCAAATGTTTTCTGAAGGAGTGACGTCTCAGAGTCTGGCAAATTGTATATTTCAGATTTGCCTTAATTCACTTAAAATCCAGATGCTTTCCCAACATCCTGGATTTCTTTAGAAACTAATTTTAGGGAAATATTTGGTTTAGATAAAAAATTACGTCATTCGCATATAATGCTGTTTTCTGATGTGTTCCTGCAAGATTTAGTTCTCTGATCGATCCATTGTTCCTTATCCTCTGGGCAAAAGACTTGATGGCCAGTGCAAAAAGTAAAGGAGACAACGGACATCCCTGCTTAGTCCCTCTGTGTAACTGAAACTGGAGATTTAACCCCATTAACTCGCAAAGCTGCATTTGGGCTGCTGTGAAGAGCATTATCCATTAAAGAAATCGGAGGCCAAAGTCCATTTGGGACAGGATTTGAAACAAAATGTTCCATTCTATTCTATCGAAGGCTTTCTCTGTGTCTAATGATAACAAGGGGTTTGTATCTTTTAACAGTGATATGGGCATATAGGAAGTGCGGAAGAAAGTCTTTTCCATTGTTAGGGAGAACCACCACAGTAGCTTCTTTCATTTGTGGAAGTTCCTCCCCTAGGTGCTTCTCAAGGGACCCACTAATACCTTCTTAAATATCTTGCAAAATTCAGCTGGAGAGCCATCGGGTCCTACAGTTTTAGCACTTTTCTTCCTTGCAGTTGCCTCTAGGATTTCTTCTTCTGTTATTTTTTTAATTTAAAGTGTCTTTATCAATTTTGCTTATCTTTGGCAAGCCTGCTACTTCCAGATATTTCTGAATAATTTCAGAGCCCGGAGTATCTGAGGTATAGAGATTTTTATCGGCAGCAAAAGTAACCCATATTTCATTAGTGAGTGTAACTATCTTTTGCTGATTGTCCATCCCAGCTATCAAATATTACTCCCACTGGTTCATGATCTGACCATGTAATTTTGCCAATTTCTGCAGATTTTGTCTGCTTCATTAAGGATTTAGAGATTAACGTTACATCTCTTCTAGTATAGAACTGATGATGGTGTGACTAAAATGTGTAATCTCTTTCCCCGGAGAGATTGAATTGTTGGCCCAGCGACTTCAGTGCCGCACCTGCTTCCCTGTCCCTCTTGTCTTTTTTATCAGATCTGTCCTAGTAAGTGTGCAATTGACGTCTCCTCCAAGTGTAATTCCCTCTTTCCCCAAAGTGTTGCCATGTTTTAAAGAAGTCACTGGAGGATTTTAAGAACAGTTTGGACAAACGCTTGTCAGCGATGGTCTAGGTTTACTTGGTAATGCATCTGTGCAGGGGACTGGACTAGATGACTTCTCAAGGTCCATTCCAGCCCTACATTTCAATGACTATTTGATGGAAATATGCAGTCCTGGAGCTAAAATGAAAATTCTGACAGCTTCACTAGTTTCCAAAAGCTCAATCCCTTCACGGTAGTGTGTAGTTCTCTGGTTAGCAGCTGTTGTCACATCTCCTGGAGTTCATGAAACTCTGGAGAATTCATACTATTGCGTCCTCTGAGAGAGCTCTCTACGTAGCTCTTGGTTTTGGCTAGTTTGAAACACTATGTACCTGTGCCATGTACGTTTCCATGGGCAGGAGTGTCTATCCCCTTAGCAGGGGGAATTCTGACTCATGTGAAAGCTCCTGTACAATGTTTCTCATCTCCAGCAGGGCAGATGCATTTGTGCATCAACTAGTGATCGATGATTCTCCAAAGTTTGTGGATGTTGAAGTCCTTCTATGAGAGATTCCAAATGCCCTCAGCCTTAATACATAAAGTGAACCTAGGGATTTTAGTTAGGGATTTGGTCACTTCCTAGTCAAGACCTGTTAGAAAGGTAGCATGTCCCCAAAGTTTCATGACCTGTTCCACTAGAGTAATAGTAACACTGAATGTTTGCTTTCACCAGTCCCGTGTAGCAGATGTGTCTAGGACAGTGTTGGACAATCATATTATTAATTTTTTTAATAATAAGGATACCCCAGCTGTTTTAATCTGATATTCAGGTTTTTAGCTGCCCATTCTGGTGTGTGTACGGGGTGTTCCTCTTCTATTCTGAATGAATGATTCTAGGCAAGGACTAAGGGGTATGTAGATAAGATTCCTCCTCCTCCCCCATCATAATGTGTCAAGACTTTAAACAGTCCCATGTTCATGCAGTAGTGTTTTGCTCCAAGAGTATGGATCTGTGGTGTCAACAGCTGTTAGATAATTAATATAACTTGTTAGTGAAGTCTGCTTCCACTGGTTGGCCTGATGGGCCATTTGTGAGAGCTGTGTACCATTCCCCATTCTGCTCCCTTTGGCGAGATCATCCGTGTGGAAATGTTCTAATAGCCCCATCGGCTGCTGAGTGGGGAGAGTTAACTGTACTATTCAGCAGTTGTCTCTCCAGTTGATTTATGGGTTGCGTTGGTAGCTAAGAAATGGGGAAGTTTGAGGCTTTGTGTGGGAGAGACCACGGAAATGGAAAGGGAAGGTTTTTCCAGAGAAGGAAAAGTACAATTCAGTATCTTCCATTGTGGTTTTCTTCTGTGGGTGGAAAAAGACAAACTTTTGAACTCCACAGAGCTCTTCTTGAGGCTTTGACCCGAAGAAGAGCTCTGCGGAGCTCCAAAGCTTTTCTCGTCCAGTAAAAAAATATTACCTCACCCAGCTTGTGTCTCAAGTTAATTTAAGGTATTTAATGTTCTCGTTCCTGTTAATATTATCATGTAACCACTGAAAGAATACAAAACTCTGGCAAATTTATTACTTATTAAAATGTACATCTAAATGTGTTGTCTCTTGGCAGTCGGAATGCCTCCAGAATTTCAAACTTCTAGAAGTACTTATGGCCAGTAAGCAAGGTAAATCAAGCGTTATTTGCTTTTCTATTCCAATGAATAACTGTAGTTGAGTCCTGTAGTATTCATTTATGTATTTTAATGTTAATACATCCATATTTAATTTTTACAGTTGATCCTCCAATAACTGACAGATACTTGGTGTATAATTATGCTGAAAAATGTTGAAATATTGAATCAGAAATGCTTTTTTTTTAAATTGTCACCATAAATTTTGTGTTTAGTACTTTACTCTCCCTTCTTTGTACTAAAAGAAAGCATATGGCAAGGTTGTGTTTTCCGAAGAGATGTGCAAATATGAGATTTTTCAGGTTAGTGGCCAAACCAAAAAAATTATGGAGGAGCGGGGAAATCAGTTCAAGTCGAACCAAAATGAAGTTTTGTTTTGATATTTTCCCTCCTCCCCCCGACGAAAAGCAAAAGTTGAAAAAATAGTTTTGGGTTGAAAGTTTTGTTTTGTTTTTGAAGGCTTTATTTTTTTTTAAAGAAAATAGTGAAATTCCAAAACAAAAAGTTGAAACATTTCATTTCAGAAATGCTGAAACAAACTCTTTTGAAGTTACTTACAATTTTTATTTGACCGAAACAATTTGCTGACATTGACCTGAATTTGTTAATTGTTTTGGTTGACGCCAATCTGCATTTTTTCAGTGGAAAAAATTATTTGCATGAGAAATGTCACCCAGCTGTCTAATTTTCTGATGCATACTTACCCACTGGTGAAAAGGACTGGTTTTTTGGGAGATGCCCTTTGAAGGCAGCTGTTACTTAATTGGGGTCAATAACTTTGCTATTAAAGCAGATCACACACAGGCCGGTGCAAAGAAGCTTTTCGGTGCTGCTGTTTGGCTATATCTATTCCATGAATAAACCAAGAATTTGAGTTCAGGGACACGTAGGGCCGGATGCTCGGGTCCCTATAGCGGCTGTGTTGCTCTGGTTGGAGGGATGGCCTGGTGGTGAAGAGGCTAGACTGGGACTCCTGATCTGGGTTCAGCCCAGTCCTGCGGGAACTCTGTGGTTGAGCCAGGAGCTAAGGATGTGTCTACACTGCCAAGAAAGGTGTTCTTACTGTGGGTTAAAGTAGCAGTGAAGACATAGCATTCAGGTTAGCAGCTCAAGTTAAAGCCTCTAGGGTTAGGTCTACAGAGCTGCGCACGGCCTAGCCTACCCAAGCGAGCATGAATCCAGCTCGTGTGGGTAGCAGTAGTAGTGAAGACAGCCCAGTGCTGGCTTCAGTGCAAGTACTACCGGTCTGGCATGGACCCTGGCTATGCATTTGGGTCACTAGCCTGAGCTGAAGCCCACGATGCACTGTCTTCACTGCTCTTGCTAGTTGCACTAGCTAGCTCGGAGAGGCTAGTACCATGCGTCGCTTTTGCTGCATAGACATACCCTAGGGGAGCTTGGAGTTGAGCTCGTGCTGCTAACCTGAGTAAAAAGCAGAGGTGCTGTGTCTTCACTGCTGTATTACAGGAGTTAGCAAACCCAAGTTCGAAACACCCCTTTTATTTTCAGGGAGATGAACCCTAAGTGACTTGCCCAAGGTGTTTCACTCTCTCTGTATTCCAGTTCCCAATCTGTACAGTGGCAGGATAAATTAAAGCGTATGAAGCACTCGAATACTCTTGGGATGGAGGCCATAGAAATACTTGGGTAGAGTTTTAACATATGATTGTAACTTTCCCTTGTTTTCTTTATAATCATGAATTATGTAATCATAAATCAAAGACTTCATCAAATTATTTCCTCACAGCGCCCTGGGAATGGGGTTTATGTTTTGTATGTTCCTTTGGCTGATGATTTGGTTTTGCAACAGTAGAGCGAAAGGGCTATTGTTTAGGGTCATGCAGAAACCGTGCATCTGTTTGCCACAATGGTAATGTATTAAAATGTTGTGGTTAGTGTTTTCTTTTTTTATCTGTCAGGATGAGTCATGTTTTTCCCAATCATCTGCTTTCAAATACAGTAATTAGTTTGTTACCAGAGTATTGTTTGGTTGTGATTAGCTGCAAAATGTTGTTATCCTTAATATATATATATATGAATAAATAAAGGGTGGGGGTACTTAAAAGCTTTGTGCAAATTAACGGAAGTGCAATTTAAATCCTCCTCAGAGTTTTGCTGCTGAATATGGCTTGTAGCTTGTGTGTTCATATTTCTACTTGTGTTTAATATTAAAGAAAGTGGTAAAACGTAGGTCAAGGCATTAATTTCCCTAAAACAGTCATTTTTATTTGCTTTTGCTTTCATTTGAGTTATGTCATAATTCAGACTTTTTAAAGAAAAACACTATCGTTGCTTTTCTTTCTCTAGTTCAGCGAATGGTGCTGGATGACCAGGAGATGATCCTGAGCAGACTTAGGGACATAAGAAAGGTAAACAAGTAAAGAAATAATCAATCTGGTTTGTGCTTTCTGATCAGTTGGGGGTCATTTTTTTCTCAATTTCTGGGTAATTTTAATTTTCATTAAACTGAGGAGCTGCAGCTTCTATGTAAGCTCCTAAACAGAACAGTCAGGTTTTGGAGCGAAGTTTTTGTAATTTGTAATTCTTTCCGAGCACAAAGTTCTGGTAGCGAGTGGCATTGCTTCAGAGCTACATCCTTTTTTTTTTATGACATTGTGTTTTTCCCCTGCTATATAACGTGTTGTAGTATGACTAGTTGATTTCTTTTTTCTAGACTTCAATACGTCAGATGAATCAGACAAGATTTTACATTGTAGAAAATAATAAATCTGTCGTGCGGGTAAATTTGTTTGTGGGTGGCTTGCCACCTCAGCTCTCTGCTGAAGAATACACTAACATCCTCAAGGATGACTTAGCTATCAAAAGTAAGTCAAATAGTGTTATCTTTGGACTGCAAGGACTTGATTTCACTGTCTATTCCTATGTATAGAATAACATGCTATAGTAAAATTGTGTTCCTTCTCTTCCAATTTTGCTTATGTACATTTGTGACTCCTTTGTTGGCAAATGTTGTCTTGCAAAAATCACTATTTTTTTTCTTGTTACGTTTTATCTGAAATGGTGACATTTTCCCTCTGCTTTTACCTTCAGAGCTCTGCAAATCTGTGGATATCCACTTTATATCCGTGGGTCATTTTTGCAAATCTGATGCGGATACAAATTTTGTATCTGCCCAGGGCTGTATTTATCTTAACATACTGACGGCTCTGTATAAGAAATAAAAATGTATGTGACAGCTTGCTTTTTGTTCAGAGGATGGTCAGTAAGGCACTTGGGTTGCCTTTATATATATATATATATATATATATATATATATATATAT